ACCATAGGTAATTGAATATATTTAGGAAAAAGTATGTATTTGAAGATACTATTGCCCTCAGTTAAGCCTTACCAGTATATGAGAAGATTCCCAGGCCGTGATAAACCGTGGAAAATGAGAAATAAGCACTTAATATGGAGTGGCTCAAGATGGCGGTTGTGCAGAGAACGATGCTACCAATTTAAATGGTAAACATCTGGGCCGGATTCAGGAGTGGGCAAGGTGGGCAGCTGCCCAGGGCCTCCACAATCTGGGGGCCTCCACATGTGCGGTAGTAGCTATATCAGGGCTGGTCGACTTGAAACCACATGAATGACTCCAGTCATGTCTCACTTTTGTGTGTGTGTGTGTGTGTGTGTGTTGGGAATTTGTACACTATCAATAAATATACAGTTAATTAAAAATTTCTCAATATTCTAATTTCCTCAGTATAACTCCAAATGGCTTCAAAATTCTCCAAAGAAGTGTTCAAATTTCAAAATTTTCCCGGGGGGCTTACAGCGCCCCCCCCCCCGAACTCCCAGATGTTTAGGCTTGCTTCACTCGCCACCCCACCCTCTTGGGTAGTTATAATGAGGGAGGCCTCCACAGGTCTAAATCCGGCACTGGTAAACATGGGCCACCAGAGACGCTTAGCGGTCAGCGCTGTAAGCAGTGGCAGGGTACGGTTTCTTTAATTTCTTTCAATGGGAAACTATTCTAGAAGTCAAAACCTGACGACGATGACGATTGTATGTTACCTGGCCGTATACAGTAGCATCCCATGCCACCCTACAGATTTACTGGTTTTCTTCAGTAACCAAAAATACATACATAACATCTGGTATATATTGACAAAAATAGAACAACTTAATATAAAAATATAGTGAACATAAATGTAAAATTTTTATCTGACCTTCACGGACCCCCTAAAGCCCATTCATGGACCCCTTGGGGGGTCCATGGACCCCAGGTTAAGAACCCCTGCCCTAGAGGGATAGTAGCCTACTGGTGGAGGTTTGTCCCCGGACGATAATGCTCGTCTGAGAAAGATCTCTCAAATCCCCGGAGCTCAGGTTTCATGTGCCCCTCACGCGACCCTCAATCGTTGCAAGGAAGTCGTCTTCTCCCAAGACCTGATGTGATATTCGGAAGAAAACTATTACAAGAATTAGATATATATGAGGCGATAACAGTAGAACATTTTAAAAAGAAGGTTGATGGTGTCCTTATTCCAACCCCTATTTTGTTGCTGACATTTGAAAGGCTAGTTTTGCCAGAAACAGTCATGTGTGTCCTATGGTAAGTCGGACCATGAAGGCAAGGACTGTCCCAGTCCTGTCGCGTTTACCAACAGCCATGGGGCTCTCCGAAGAGTCACCAAGCCTCGACAAAAAGGTGCGATCGCCACAAGCTCGAAAAGGAGGTGCTCGAGATTCAAAGCAAAAAGGTTAGCTTTGACGAGGCAAAGCGTCGTGCGTCCGCGAGTATCTTTTGCCTCGATGCTATCCTCCCTTCCTACTCGACGTCCCACGGCTCCTTTGCTGTGCCAAAAAGCTATAATTCCCTCTGCTACTCCTCGTTCGTCTCCGTCAACTGATGATAGTATTACCACTTCCCCCCTCTACCTCCTCCATGGAGGTTACAGGGGAGCCCGTTTCGGCAGCTACTGGTACTCTGTCGAACTAGAAGCGGTCCACGAGTGGGGGATTTCTTGAAGAGACTCTTCCTCCAAAGGTGGGGCCTTCAGAACCCTCTGGTGGGTCTCGGAAGGACCCCCAGTTATCGGCCCCCGGGGCCGCTCCCTCGCAGGTTTGGCTTCCCCGGGATCTAGTAGTCTGCTCTCGATCTCCTACTGTCAGGTCCAACAAACCCATGACCAAGCCATCGATCGCGGGGCAAGTGACATGCCCGTCAAGGGAGGATCCCTCTTCCTCCTCAACGAAGCCCGCTGTTTACAGGCAGAGAAAACACATAATGAGTGCTGGGACGCTCCCTTCTAAGGGCACTTCTAAACCCTTATCTAAAGATATTCGGGGAGGAGCTCCAACTGCTCCTGAGTAGGCTCCGGCTGGTCTGTGCCTGTTTGCAGGAGACCATGATTAATTCGTACTTCCATCTGCCTTCACGAGATTACTCTGCTTTTTACTCTCCTACCCCCCCCCCCTTTCGTCCATCATGGAGCGCAGCTAATTTTATAGAAACATCTCGGAGTATCTCTTTTTACCATTACCGCTCCCCTACTGGTAGTTGCTGCTCAGCTCCCCATGCAGCGCACGTATACAGTACTTTGTGTTCCCTCTACCTTCCACCTAACTCACCGGTTGATAGAGAGGAGTTTGTGTCTATGGTTCGTCTACTCTCTCCCACATTTTGAATACTTGGTGATTTTAATAGTCGACACACTGTCACCAATTCCAGGGGAGCCATGATTGCTTCAACTGTCGAAGCCACAGATCTCGGTATTCTAAATACCGGTGACCATACACATTACCATGTCCAGACAGGCACGACCTCTGTAAATGATTTCTCCCTGAGTTGTCCCGACACCATTCTCGATTTCACGTGGAAGGTTTACGGGAGATCTCTGCCGACTGGACAGGGCTGACTGGGTGTTTTTTCAACGGCTAGCCACGGTGATCTGAGTAGTGCAGACAGGTTGTGATTGAGTGTCGTCAGGCGTATGGTCGGTAACGTAGACCCAAGACTGACTTTTATCGTGCAGCATACAAGAGAGCCAGAGCCACGCCCGTCGGGTTATTAAAGATGCCCATCGTTTGTCTTTTGCTTCGTTCGTGTCCTCCCTCAACGCTAGAATGCCCATGTCGCAGGTCCGTAAGATAGCAGGGAAGTTCACTCCGAGCCCTCCTCCGGTCATCAAGGTCAATAGGGAAACGGTCATTGACGGCGTGCTGGAAGTTGACGTACTCGCTGGGGCCTTCACAAGCATATCAAGTCGTGCTTCGAGGTCTTCTGAGGTGCGTCGCCAGTTGGAGGTTCAGGAGTTTCGTCAGCTGGCCCTCTCGTCCTGTAGGGGGAAGAGTGTTAAGAGTCCCTTATTCCCTAAGGGAACCAAGATATGCTCTCTACCTGTGTATTGACTCCTCCCCCAGGCGAAGATAACATCCCATAAGCCATGATCCGTCATATCTGTAGCGAGTCTCTGTCGTTTAATTGGATGTAGAGGGACATTTTTATTCCCTCCTCTTGGAAGACTGCAGTCGTCATCCCCTACAATAAGCCCGGTAAGGACTTATCTGTTCCTCTTAACTACAGATCCATAGCCCTGACTGTTTGCATGTTTAAAGTATTTGAGAGGATGGTCAATACGCACCTGGTACGGTATCTCGACTGTCCAGTGTGGTTTTCGTCGGCACCATTCGACAATGGATTGGTTTGTTCGGTTGGATACTACCATCTGTTGTGTTTTTGCATCTTGACATCGAGAAGGCGTATGACACTGCCTGGTGGTACGGGACACAGCTTGACATGACATCCAAGATCACGACACTTCTCTGCAACTTTCTCAACAGGCAAGCCAAATTGATTATCGACTTTCACAAAGGAGTACCCCAAGGAAGAAATATTTATCCCACATTACACACTATCTTCATGGCTGATATGACTAAATCAAGGAATTCGTAATATATAGCAAACACCGACGATGTAACCTAAATAATCCAATACCCTGGAAAATCAAAACAAATAATGGCAATTAGAGCAAGCAGAGGAATAGAAACATTAAATAATTACAAAATAAAATGAAAGAGCCAAATAAATAAACTCAAATTACGCGCAAGTACAAAACATAATTATCCTCTAGAAGAGCAGCAAAGGACAGACCACCATATATACAAACAGTACGAGACATACACACAGAACATAATATAACCATATTCAACATCAGATCACACAACCAAGTAAGCGCAATATGGGAAAAACTGTCTCAACTAGAGGACGCCTTCATTCATTTAGACATAACAATATTTCGCACAGGTTGGTGACCAAGAACCCTAACAACTAACAATACAGAACGAGAATCAATGTACACACAACAGACAAATAAATAAACACATAAAATTAATTAACATTTAAAAAAAAGGAGATTGTCACCTCAGTAACACAAGGATCTCAATGGATCCCCAAAACAAAAACAAATAAATAAAGACCCTTAGCAACACCATACCCTCAGCCACTCTTCTAAACTGATATCTAGCAAACAAAAAGATGATGATTATCCCAGCAGTAACACGACGACTTGGAGGATCCCCCAAACAAACATAAGGCCAATGACAATACGCTATAAAGTTAGTTTATTTGATTTTGCTGCTACAGAAGAAAAAACGTCGTCTCCGCTAGGTGGATACCCAACCTGTTATTAACCTCCTTCTGTACCTACCACTTCCTACCTTGACCTTACCCTGACCTCTCGCATCTACAAAGCCAATAGCCTGTCTTCTCTCCATCTCTCGATGATGATAAAGTGTTACATTATTTGAGAAAGCCCTTCAAGACGAAACATCAGGAGTAAAGTAGTCTCTCTGTCCCTGTGTTTCCTTTGCTACCACCTAACCGTTCGTCCAAATGGATCTACTCATTAGGAGCATTACAGTCTTCATAACGAGAGAAGTATTCCACAGTCTTCATATGATGTGAAGAGTTTTGACTACTTTCTTCTCAACATCAACAGTACTGATTACTATCTTCATAATATCACCACATACTTAGGGAGCATGAGGAAGGACAGGTACTCGTACCTAGAAAATGAAAAATGACAGGTACCCTGTAATCATACCTGGAGCATGAAGAAGGTCAGGTATTCACCCCTGGAGCATGATGATCAAGTACACACCTCTGGATCATCTGTAAAATCTGAATATCACCACCTATTGGAACTCACCCCTTACCCATGGGTGTGGCGAAATGGACTCCTCTCCAATGAAGTATGGGAAAGCAATACTCACCTTTGCGGCATAGGGAAGTTTAAGGTTAGGTTAAGTACAGAGAAGGACAGTACTCACCCCTGTGGCATTGGGAAGCAGTTGAGTGAGAGGATGTCACCCTTCTGTATCTTCCTGGTGGTCACTGGGTTGTGTGCTCCGTCTGTGTTGATCCCGGACTGGAACCACACCCACGCTGCCAAAACCACACTGTGTTAATGAACACACCCCGCTATAAAAATGACCTGTAAGGACAGGCCAGCAAATATGTTGTGTCAAAACTTCCATCCTTGTAAGTTGACATTCCTCAACAAGCCAAATGAGCCACACGCTTTTCACACCTTGAGCTTCGCCTACTAGCCGGTGTTTGTACTTACATAAGGAAAACCGGCTGGTTTAACAGACGGTTAACACCACACTCTTAGTGACCACACCCATACTGCCAACACCACAACTGTGTTAGTAACCACACCCACCTGCTAATGCCACACTGAATTAGTGACTACGCCCACCTGCCAACAGCACACTGTTAGTGACCACACCCACGCTGCTAACACTACACTGTGTTAGTGACCACACCCACCTGCCAACACCACACTGTATTAGTGACCACACCCACCTTCCAACACCACACTGTATTAGTGACCACACCCACCTGCCAACACCACACTGTATTAGTGACCACACCCACCTTCCAACACCACACTCTTAGTGACCACACCCACCTCCCAACACCACACTGTATTAGTGACCACACCCACCTGCCAGCACATCACTGTATTAGTGACCACACTCTCCTGCCAACACCACACTGTTAGTGACCACACCCACCTGCCACCACTAATTGGAATTAGCGGGGACCACACCACCTACCAACAACACCACACTGCTAGTGACCACACCCACCTGCCAACACCACACTGCCAGTGACCACACCCACCTGCCAACACCACACTGTATTAGTGACCACACCCACCTACCAATACCACACTGTTAGTGACCACACCCACTTGCCAAAACCACACTGTATTAGTGATCACACCACCTGCCAACATCACACTGTTAGTGACCACACCCACCTGCCAACACCACACTGTATTAGTGACTACACCCACCTGCCAACACCAAACTGTTAGTGACCACACTCATTCTCCAACAATTACACTGTATTAGTGACTACACCCACCCGCCAACACCACACTGTATTAGTGATCATTAATCTGAATCTACCAACACCAAACCTGTTAGTGACTACACCCACCTGCCAAACACCACACTGTGAGTGACCACACCCACCTGCCAACACCACACTGTATTAGTGACCACACCCACCTGCCAACACCACACTGTATTAGTGACCACACCCACCTGCCAACACCACACTGTATTAGTGACCACGCGCGCGCACGCGCTCACACACACACACACACACACACTACATCCTTGACCACCGAAGGGTCAAGACGTACCTGGCGCTCCTCTCAGAGCAGCCAGGTCAACTGTTAAGTTGGCCCATACCAACCCCCTCCCCTGAACCCTCCTCCCCACCGGAATATCAACAAGTTCTCGCCAGAAGTTACAATTTCATTTAGGAAAGGAACGGAACCAGTGTTAAACAGAGGTGAACAGTGGTGAACAGTGCTAAAGTCAGTGAGAACAACTCAACAGTAACAGTCGTACCCAAGCTAACCTTCACACAGTGAGGTCCCAGGTACCCAGTGATAACGGCCCGTGAGACCAAACAACAACCAGCGATGTGTTAAGCCGTCTACGATAGGAAGGCCTATGACCAAACCTCACTCATATAACACCATCTGTGAGGGAATTACTACACCACATGTCCCTCATAACACCATATGTGAGGGAATTACTACACCACGTCAAGTCCCTCATCACACCATCTGTGAGGGAATTACTACACCACGTGAGGTCCCTCATAACACCATCTGTGAGGGAATTACTACACCATGTCAGGCCCCTCATAACACCATCTGTGAGGGAATTACTACACCACGTGATGCCCCTCATCACCATCTGTGAAGGAGTTACTGCACCACGTGAGGTCCCTCATAACACCATCTGTGAGGGCATTACTACACCACGCCAGGTCCCCCATAACACCATCTGAGGGAACTACTACACCACGTGAGTTCCTCCTAACACCATCTGGGAGGGAGTTACTACACTACGAGTTTGCTGTTCAACACCTACATTAATCTGTATGTTCACTGTATGTTCCTTTACCTTTCTCTAATGAAGGCTTTTGTTAAACCACCAATGTATGTAATAAGTCATTTATGTCCAATGTATATTTTCAGCCTTCGGGCTGCAGAATTTTTTTTCAATAAACCGTTAATTATTATTATTATTATTACACACACACACACACACACACACACACACACCCTTCAGGATTTATTGAACAGTCTACAGAACTGGGCCACCAACAACCATGTCACCATCAACCATACCAAGACCATGGTTATGCACATCAACCTCTCCTCCGACATTGTCCCACCTCCTTTCATTACTCTAGGTCCGAACACACTCCAGGTTGTAGATTCCACGAAGCTCCTCGGCGTCACCATAGACAACAAACTAAATTGGAAACCACACGTCAGTGAAGTTGTCAAATCCTCCAGTTTCCTTCTCCACCTCCTCCGCCGACTAGTCCCTCGGAGTTCCTGCACCCGAGCTCCACAGTGTTTACACAACATTCATACTTCCCAAGCTCACCTATGCCTCCCCCACCTGGTCTTCCTCCCTAAATGCCACACAACGTAAACACCTAGAAAGCAAAAAGAGGCATGCAAGATTATCTCTTCCTACTCCACATATCAAGAAGGCCAACACACTGGACCCTTTCTGACTCTCACCGTGGACCATCACGACCTCATCTGCAATTTGGTAAGAAGCTTACACCATCCTCGACACCGGCTCCTACTACCACCTGAGATCCCTTGCCCGAGAATTGCTGTTTGACACCACAACCGCATCCAGCCCATAAGTGCACGAACTGATCCCTATAAGAACAGCCCAGTCCCAACCATTGTAAAAATTATCAATAACTTGTAATAAACCAGTGTATTCACTCCCAGTAAATACTACTTCTTGCACTGTCACTATGTTGAAATGCACTGTAGTTTGAGCTTTTCCCATCTAGTTATTATATATCTTATTTGTATCACTTATGTTACTTGTATATTATTTGTAATTCGAAACCCATTCCCCAAATATGTAACTGCATATTTTCAGCCTTCTGGCTGCCAAGCTCTTTCAATAAACCGTTAATTATTATTATTATTATTATTATCGCACACACACGGTTGCATTAGCCTCTGTCAAATATAAAGTCAGTAATATTATATAAATGTGGGTTTATAACATTTGTACATTATTTACAGTCTATCATCCAGAGTAATCTAATATACTATAGCACTAGGGGTGTGTGTGTGTGTGTGTCTGCTCTGGGCAGCCGAAACGGCACAATCGTTTTTCATCAAACTTGGTGGAAAAATCGCAAAAAAATTTGTTCAGTGGAACAAACCTGGTCCCATATCGATGGTTTCTTTAGGAAGCCAATACATAACCATTTTATTTACGCTGGAAAACGATGCAAGTCTACGGACTTGGCGCACCCAGCCCACGATTGCAGTTATGGTATTCGGCTCCCTCCTCCTCCCGCCACTTTTTTCTGAGCCTACGTTTTTTTTTAATGTTGTCCGGATTAGTAAAGGAAGGAAAATGAGTAAATAGAATAACAAATAAAGAAGGGGAAACAGAAAATAGTTAGAGATAGCAGGTGGGGGCGAGCTGAGTTTCATCATGCGTCTGGATGCGCAGTTTCAAATTTACCAGACGACCTTACAGCTACAGTGTATGCTTATTCCTGTGAGAAGAGATAAAAAGAAAATAACAGAAATACATGGAGAAGATGACTACAATAGACACAGGGTAAATATAGACAGTGAAACAGACAGGAGGTTGACAAAAATAGACAGATTCATACATGCACAAATAGACAATATGGCAACTA